AAATAAATAAATGAACATTAAAAAAAAAAAAGAATGAAAACACACCAAAGTAATAACATACACATTGGGAGGTCAATGATTAAAATTAAATTGTTTCAGATTTCTACTGCTTTTCTTTTCTATTCTTTTAAAAATTTTAAAAAATGTTTTATTTATTTTTGAGAGAGACAGAGACAGCATGAGTAGGGGAGGGGCAGAGAGAGAGGGAGGCACAGAATCTGAAGCAGGCTCCAGGCTCTGAGCTGTCAGCACAGAGCCCGACACGGGGCTCGAACCCACGAACCGTGAGATCATGACCTGAGCCGAAGTCGGATGCTTAACCGACTGAGCCACCCAGGCACCCCAAGTCTCTTATGTTTTGTCCTCCCTCTCTGTTTTTATATATTTTTTGCTTCTCTTCCCTTATGTTCATCTGTTTCGTATCTTAAATTCCTCATATGCGTGAAGTCATATGATATTTGTCTTTCTCTGAATAATTTTCCTTAGCATAATACCCTCCAGTTCCATCCACATAGTTGCAAATGATAAGATTTCATTCTTTTTGATTGCCAAGTAATACTCCATTGTGTGTGTGTGTGTGTATGTATGTGTGTGTGTTTGTGTGTGTGTATACCACATCTTCTTTATCCATTCATCTGTAGATGGACATTTGGACTCTTTCCATACTTTGGCTATTGTTGATAGCGCAGCTATAAATATTGGGGTGCATGTGCCCCTTCAAAATAGCACACCTGTTTCCCTTGGGTAAATACCTAGTACTGCAATTGCTGGGTCGTAGGGTAGTTCTGTACCTCCATACTGTTTTCCAGAGTGGCTGCACTAGTTTGCCTTCCCAGCAGCAGTGCAAAATAGATCCTCTTTCTCCACATCCTCGCCAACATCTGTTGTTGCCTGAGTTGTTGATGTTAGCCATTCTGACAGGTGTGAGGTGGTATCTCATTGTGGTTTTCATTTGTATTTCCCTGGTGATGAGTGATGTTGAGGATTTTTTCATGTGTCTGTTCACCATCTGGATGTCTTCTTTGGAGAAGAGTCTATTCATGTCTCTTGCTCATTTTTTCACTGGATTATTTGGTTGTTGGGTGTTGAGATTAATAAGTTCTTTATAGATTTTGGATACTAACCCTTTATCTGATATGTCCCTTGCAAATATCTTCTCCCATTCTGTCAATTGTCTTTTAGTTTTTTTTTTATTTCAAAGTAGTTGTTTATTAACTGACCTGATTACAAAAATAATCATGGTAGATACCTTAGTTCATTCTTCTAATAAGCATATTGACCTGATCTTCCCTGTTGCCAGCATCCCCACCTTCTACAAAATGGGTGGTCTTCTTCTTCATTCCCCCTCGTGGAGAAGATAACTTGAAGGGCCATAAAAACTTGTTTGCTTCTTTGAAACGTTTTCCAACCAGTGTAGATCTCATGAATCAGGTCCTCCATGCAGATGATGCCGTATTTACCAAGAGATCGAGCAATCAATGTGTTATCTGTCAGGGTAATTCTCTTCTTGTTGATTTTGCCATAACCCCGCTTGTAGATCAATTCATTCACGGACTTCAGGTTTGGGAGCTGTCTTTTAGTTTTACTGATTATTTCTTTCGCTGTACAGAAACTTTTTATTTCGATGAGGTCCCAGTAGTTCATTTTTGCTTTTGTTTCCCTTGCCTCCGGAGATGTATTGAGTAAGAGTAAGAAGTTGCTGTGGCTGAGGTCAGAGAGGTTTTTGCCTGCTTTCTCCTCTAGGATTTTGATAGCGGCCTGTCTTACTTTAGGTCTTTCATCCATTTTGAGTTTATTTTTATGTATGGTATAAGAAAGTGGTCCAGGTTCATTTTTCTGCATGTCGCGGTCCAGTTTTCCTAGCACCATTTGCTGAAGAGACTGTATTTATTCCATTGGATAGTCTTTCCTGCTCTATCAAAGGATAGTTGGCCATACGTTTGTGGGTCCATTTCTGGGTTCTTTATTCTGTTCCATTGATCTGAGCGTCCTTTTTTGTGCCATATAATACTTGTTTTGCAACAAGTATTAACTAACTTTTAGAGGCATGCACCCACCCACCGGCCTCAATCGTCTATCTTGTGGGGGCAGATACAATGCAAGAAACAACTAAAAAAGAAAAATGAGAAAGCATGACAGGTGGAAGAAGACAGAAAGATTGCTTCAAAGGGCCACAGCTTTAGCTCTCACTTCTCTGGAACCCAGAGCGAGCACGAGGGGGTGGGAGGGGTGCCTCATCTCGTGGATGATTGGTTGGCTTCTCTGACCAATCATGAGCAGTGAGTGGTTTTGCTTATCATTGAGATCCACCTCCCCAAGGGTTTTGGAGCCACGTTTACAAATGGAAATAGGGTAAGTAAGAGGGACAGAACAGTCAGCCAATGAGACCTTGCAGCGTTCTTGGGCGGGGGTGAGGCCGCTGCCAGGTTTAGGGCGGAAGGAGCTGCTCCGGGTAAGAAGGTGAACGAAAGATGGCGGCGGAAACGCTGCTGTCCAGTGTGTTGAGGCTGCTGCTTCTGGGGCTCCTGTTACCCGCAACTCTGACCGGCGGTGTCGGAAGCTTGAATCTAGAGGAACTGAGTGAGATGCGTTATGGGATCGAGATCCTGCCGTTGCCGGTCATGGGAGGGCAGGTGTGGAGGCGTGGAGGGGCGAGGATCTGGGGCAAGGGGAAGGAGGGAAAGCTAGAGGAGTAAGGGCGGCTGTGGAGTCTGCATGGGGCACCTAAGAGGAATCGGGAAGAGTAGCTAGGGGTTTTACGACGACTCCTAAGGACCGTAGACTGAGACCCATTCCCCTGGGGCTAGGGACTGGGAGGGGTGGGGCTTCCTGCTGTCAGCTTCAGTTCCTGATCGAAGCACCCAGACTCCGCCCGGTAGAGAAGTGGGAGCGCTCGCTCCCCTCACCCGCCAAACACAGCTGGAGGACTTGTGGCTCATTCTGACTTGACTGGGCTCTTCCCCAGGCTCCAAAGAGGGATCTCCTTGTTCTCTCTGATCCCAGCCTCTCTTTGCCTCCCTGCCGCCCGACCCTTCCTTCTTTCCCAGAGCCAAGCTTCGGACGTGGTGATTGTCTCCTCTAAGTACAAACAGCGCTATGAATGTCGCCTGCCGGCTGGAGCTATTCACTTCCAGCGTGAAAGGGAGGAGGAGGCACCTGCTTACCGAGGGCCCGGGATCCCTGAGCTCTTGAGCCCAATGAAAGATGCTCCTTGCTTGTTGAAGGTGAAAGGGGCTGGGAAGAATGGAATGAGGGCTTGGGAACTAGCTATCTGTCTGGGAACCAGAGTGCCCATGAATGGGGAGGGATTGAGAGGACCTATGAGGGTTAAGAAGGCCACTGGAGGAGTAGACATATGTACAGAAGCAAAGAATCCTGCAACCACAGATGACACCCTGCTGAGTGTAGAGGAGGCTTAGGATAGAGGACCTCAGAGTAATGGTTAAGCCAAGATTGAGGGTCAGTGTAGGGTAGGAGGGGCATTCTCCTAGAGAAGCCTTCCTGGTAAAGTCACCCCCTGACCCTGTCACTCCCTGCCGGTGTCCTATTTTATTTTCATCATGGCATTTTTGCTGCTCTGAAATCATCTTATTTAACTGAATCATCAGTTTACTTATTTATTTTTTTAGTCTGAGTCCCAGCACTGGAATGTGAGTCCATGATGTCAGAGAATTTGTCTTGTTCACAGAGGCTAGAATAGCACAAGGATGTTGTAGAAGTTCAATTAATATTTGAATAGTCTATATTTCCCTGGTCTGAATATTTCAAGGATACCATGATTTCTTATCTTTATGGAAGGCAAAGAAGGAGTTTTAAAAAAGGAAGAGTGGAGGGGCGCCTGGGTGGCTTAGTCGGTTAAGCGTCCGACTTTCGCTTGGGTCATGATCTCGCAGTTCGTGGGTTCAAGCCCTGCGTCGGGCTCTGTGCTGACTGCCAACTCAGAGCCTGGAGCCTATTTCGGAGTCTGTGTCTCCCTCTCTCTCTCTGACCCTCCCCTGCTCACGCTGTCTCTCTCTCCTAGAAATAAATAAAATATTTTTTAAAAAATTAAAAAAAAATAAAAAAGGAAGAGTGGAGAGACCACAGGTGGAAAACATACTTTCGAGGCGTTTCTCCCAGTCACAGAAGGAAAGTAGCCCTTCTTCCTCACTGAGAATCTGGAGAATTGAGTATGGAAGCAGAGGGGATGAGATGTAGATGAGAGGTTATGTGTCTTGTAGCTGGGAGAGATTCAGGTTCCAAGCAGAGACATCTGCACTCTATCCCCTTGATTGTTCATTTATTATTTTTATTTTTTTATTGTCAGACCAAGGACTGGTGGACGTATGAATTCTGTTATGGACGCCACATCCAGCAGTACCACATGGAAGGTGACTCACGCCTACATTTCCCCTAAGCCCTCAGCAACACTTCATGGAAGGTGACCTGCCTCCCCAGTCCCCTTCCCTTTTAGTCCTCCTACAAGAGAGTAACGGTGCTTCACTGTGGTTTCTCTTGTAGATTCAGAGATCAAAGGTGAAGTCCTCTATCTCGGCTACTACCAATCGGCCTTCGACTGGGATGATGAGACAGCCAAGGTGGCAGGAGTTTGGGGTTGGGAGAGAAAGGGGTCCTGGCTGTAGACTAAGAGCCCTGATGAGAAGGGGAGGGTCAGGCTTAGCTGACACGTTGCTTGGGGCTTGGTGGCCGTTAGGACAAAGTGCCATTCTTCCTCTTTGCTGTCTTTCTTCTGCCCCCCCCCCCCCGATGCCCTCCCCAGGCCTCCAAGCAGCATCGTCTGAAACGCTACCACAGCCAGACCTATGGCAACGGGTCCAAGTGCGACCTCAATGGGAGGCCACGGGAGGCCGAGGTTCGGGTGAGTCTCAAGAGAGCGAAGTTGACACTCCTTCAGTGCAATTCGGACAGTGCTGAAGAGGGCAGAGTTGCGTGTTATGCTCAGGAAGGTCTCTTCCAGACCCCAGACTCTTAGGTTTCAGAGTCCTATTTTCAGCTGGTAGCTGGATGCCACTGCCTGCATAGTCCCAGGCACCTCAAGTCAACCGTTCCCAACCCCTCCCCTCTGAGCGCCTAGCCACACGTATTCTTTTTTCCTTGTTTCTTCTTCTGAGCATCATTACTGACTCTTCCTTCTCCTTCACTTTGTCTTCCTTTCTTCATTTAACGACTCATCAGTGAGGCTGAACAGGTGTAGGCATTGCTCTGGGCTACAGCGGTGGGCGAGCACGCAGCCCCTGCCCTCAGGGGATGTACAGTCTAGACAGGAAGACATGTGAATAAAGAATCACAGAAATGGGTCTGTGACTACAAACTGAGTAACGGTGTGAAGGAAAGGAATCTAGTTCTGTCAGTGTAAATGACAAAGCCTATTCGTTCTATTTCTAGATTTTGCTGACCACTCTCTTCTTTCCTATGCTCAGTGCCTTCCTCTCTCACCCGCCTCATTGCCAACAGCCTCTTTCCAGGTGTTCCTGATCTAGTGGCCCCTAACTGAGTTCAGGCAAGCAGGCAGATACAAGGTGGGAAAGGTTCTTCAGGTGGTTCTAACGTGTATTCGCAAACATAAACACCTGTAGAGACAAGACTCACACACCCAATGACACAAGAATGATCTTTCTGTAACACAGATTTGCATATGCAGTTGTGCGCTGGCAAATGTTGAGCGTTCTGATGGCCGGGATTGCGGGAGGGGGGGGGGGGGGGGGGGGGGGGGGGGGGGGGGGGGGGGGGGGGGGGGGGGGGCGTTGGGAGGGCATGGAGTGGAGAGCCTTGATCTGTAATGTTTGCCAGTGCCTGTGGTGTAGTATTCCTACCATGGCCAAATTTGTGCTGTCACTGCGATGTCATCCATCTTGCAACATTCCTGAAAATTTCCCGGTTGACTCTTGTGAACCGGTGTGGACTGACTCCAACATGCCACTACAGAAAGTGTCACTTCTCTGTCCCGTCCTGGAAAACCTTCAGTGATCCTGCCTCGCACAAAGGCTAAGATCCAAATACCTCACCACCGACTGGGGTGCCTGGGGAGGTGATGGGAAGCCCTCGGGTTCAGGATATACTTTGAAGCTGGACCCACCAAGACTTGTTGATGGATTGGACGTGGGCTGGAGTCAAGTATGACTCGGGGGGGTTTTTAGCTCAAGCAACTGCAGCAATGTAGCTGTCATTTACCAGAATGGGAAGGGACGGGTTCGGAGGGGAAGCTAGGCTGCTGTTAGACATACGAAAGTCAGAATGACTGTAGACCCCCAGTGGTGATGTCCAGTTGGTCATTGGCTCTGGGATTCTGGAGTTCAGGGATGAGGTCTGGGCTGGAGAAACATACTCATTGTGTTTCTGCCCCACTGGTCTTCTTTCTGTTCTTTCTTTGAATCAGTGGGTCTCCTTGTTGCCTCTGCTGCAAGCCGTGTTCCTCCAGATCTTTGAGCGGTGGGCTCCACCTGTCATTCACGTTATAAGTGTTATATATCCCTGTGACACCTCCACGGGTTAGCCCTACTGTTGGCACACAGAACACACGCAGCCTTCTGCTGCCATCCTGGTAAACAGCTACAGTGTCTTATATTCTTCTAAAGCATGTGCCATTTCCCGAAATTATCTTATTTGTTTTAACTTAATGTCTCTGTCTGTCTACCCCAACTAGAATAAGTTCCGGGAAGGCAGGGACAATGTCTTATTTTCTTTCTTCTTCTTTTTCTTTTCTTCTTCTTGTTTTTGTTTGTCTTATTTTCTGCTGTATCCTTGGTGCCTGAAACAGTGCCTGGCACCAAGTAAGTGCCCAGAAATTATTTGTTGAATGAGTGGAATGAATGAAAAGCCAGCTCAAGTGTCATCTATTTTATGTGAACTTTCTTGGCTAAGCCAGAAGGTTGGTTAGGTTTCTTCAGCGTTTCACATCCACATACCCATGTCCACATATATCCATGGCTTAGTCTATCTGGGCTGCTAGGACAAGATACCACAGGCTGAATGGCTTCTAAACAGAAATTTTTTCCTTACACTTCTGGAGCCTGGAAGTCAGAGATCAGAGTGCTAGTGTGGCCCAGGTTATAGACTTCTTGTTTATCCTCACGTGGTGGAAGGGGCTAGGGAGCTCTGGGAGCCTCTTTTAAATTTTTTTAAATGTTTTATTTATTTCTTTTTTCTTTTTTTTTTTTTTTAATTTCTTATTTCTAGGAGAGAGAGAGAGACAGCGTGAGCAGGGGAGGGTCAGAGAGAGAGGGAGACACAGACTCTGAAATAGGCTCCAGGCTCCGAGCTGGCAGTCAGCACAGAGCCCGACGCGGGGCTCGAACCCACGAACCGCGAGATCATGACCTAAGCAAAAGTCAGAAGATTAACCGACTAAGACACCCAGGCACCCCATGTTTTATTTATTTCTGAGAGAGAGAAACAGCATGAGCAGGGGAGGGTCAGAGAGAGGGGGAGATATAGAATCTGAAGCATGGGGAACCTCTTTTATAATCCCATTCACAAAGGTTCCCTCCTAAAACCCTCACTTCCTAATATCATCACGTTGGGCATAGGATTTCAACATAAGACCTTTATAGGGACACAGGCATTCAGACCATAGCAACCCACAAGCATCTACACACACATATAATCGGTTATAGCACTTACTTTATTATATTCTAACTATTTTTGTTATTTGCAGCTTGAGTAAGGCCAAGAACTGGAGGCAAAGGCTGCATTTTCCTCTTATCTATTGAACATATGCCCTGCACCAAGCCCTGTAATAGAAACTAGGGATGAAGTGGTGACTGAGAGACCTAGTCCTGCTCTCAGGAGAAAAACATTAAATAAACAGCCAGAGCAAGCAGGATAAAGTCTGACAGGTGAACTACATATCATGGGCAGGGGTAGGGGGATGGACACAATAAAAGCCAACTCTAGCTGAAGGGAGGCTTCCTGGAGAATGTGACTTTGGAACTGACAGTTGAAGGATAAGGAGCTAGTCCAGCAGCTGTAGAGGAGAGGGAAGAGGGCATTCCAGGCGGAAGGTTCAGTAAGTGCCATGGGCCTGGAGACAAGAGGCTGTTGATAGCTATTTGCAGTGACTGGAGGGAATTGTGGGAAGGGAGTGTGGGAGGTGAGGCCAGGCATTGTTAGGGGACAGTGTGCAGGTCATGAAGCTCTGTAGCTGTGTTGAGTTTGGACAGTCTGAGAAATAAGGGAGAAGCCAATGAAATATTTTAAGGAGGGTGATGACATATTCAGTTTGGGTTTTGAAAGCTCACTGTGGCTGGAGTGTAGCAAATGATGGGGAGACCAGTTAGAAAGTAGCCGCGGTGATCTGGGTGAGAAAAGAAAGTGGCCCAGGGATGAAGAAATGTGAATCTGGAGGGAGATTTAGAGGACAGGATCAATAGAGTAAGGTTCGTAGGTTTCTGGATGGAGCCTGGATAGATGGTGGTTCTTGTTATTAAGTTAGGTATAGTAGAAAGAATAAGTTTGGTGAAGGAAAATGTGGTTTCAGGCCACCAAATCCAAGTAGAGATTTCTGAGGAGGCTGATGGATCTGTGGGTTTGGAGCTCAAGAGAGAGATCTGAATTGAACCCAGAGGGCTGGGAATCATCAACATCTTGGCTACAATTGGAGTCAAGGTCTGGGTAAAATCCCCCCAAAGAAACAGTATGTAGTGGAAAAGGTGAAACAGAATGGTGAGGAAGCCATCATTGAAAGCATGGGCAGAAAGCGGCTTTGCCAAGAAGGGTCCAGAAAGGAGACTACAGTGACCTATTTCAAGAAGGGGCTGACCCAGGGCATCTGTTGCATTTGAACCTTCAGAGAAGAGGAGGATTAAAAACTGCTTGTAGGTGGTTATGGGAAATATTAATAAAAGAAAAGCATGCACAAGGAACAGGAATTCAGGCAGTAGGCATGGGAACCAGATAAAAATTTCTAAGTCCTCTAGTCCCAGTCTCCCCTGACCAGTCCTTTGGTTGGACTTAATGACAGAGGTCATTGGTGATCTTTGCTACAGCAGTTTCAGTTGGGTGGTGAAGAGGAGGTGAAGAAACCTTGGAAGAAGTCTGGATAAGAAGGGGAGGGAAATGGCGAGCACTACTAGTTGGAGGGGTTATGGGGTTGGGGAGGGTGGTACTTTGTTGTTGTTTCGTGTTTTATTATTTTTTTAATTAAAAAAATTTTTTTACTGTTTATGCATTTTTGAGAGAGAGAGAGAGAGAGACAGCACACAAGCAGGGGAGGGGCAGAGAGAGGAAAACATAGAATTGGAAGCAGGCTCCAGGCTCTGAGCTGTCAGCACAAAGCCCAACGCAGGGTCGAACCCATGAACCATGAGATCATGACCTGAGCTGAAGTCGGTCGCACAACTGCCTGAGCCACCCAGGCGCCCCATGTTGTTTCGTGTTTGAAAATGGGAGCGAGTGTAAATGCTGTTGGGTGGACCTGATAGAAAAGGAGAGATTGAATTACAGAAGAAGGGGAAGAGAATGGGCAGGGCTGGGATACGGAACACGGGAGAACAGTCACCCTGAGGAGGGGAGATCTAGGGTTGTAACTGGGAATGAAAGGGTGGTATATTTGGTGGGGAGTCTGGAGGTATTAGTAGCAGAAAGTTGAAGGCATTCCTGTCTGGCTATTTGCCATTTTTAGGTTTTTATATATTTTTTAAAAATTACTTAGAGAGAAAGAGAGAGCACACGTCAGTGAAGGAGGCGCAGACAGAGGGAGAGAGAGAGACTCCCAAGCAGGTTCCTCACTGTCAGCTCCAAGCCTGACGCGGGGCTGGAACCCACGAACTGTGAGATTATGACCTGAGCTGAAATTAAGAGCCCAACACTCATTTCTTGGGGCACCTGGGTGGCTCAGTTGGTTAAGCTTCCGGCTTCGGC